GTAGTTGGCCCAGTCACCCCAGGCGGATCCTGTGAGTCCATCCTGGAAGAACCTCAAATGCACAAAAGCTTAGACACTGCGGCCTGCTGCAATGCATCAAAGGAGTCATCATAGCACTTGGGAGCACGAAGCTGCATGATGCTGCATGTGCCCATCTGATCAAACCAACCCTTCCAATCCTTCCAATACCCATACGACACCCTTCGCACTGAAGCACGAAGCAACTTCGCGGAAAGACTAATTCCTTCGAGGAACATGCCAATGATGGCCATCATGGCCAGTCTTCCGTTCGCAAGCTCGGCATTCCTTGACACTGCCACGTGGCACGTGCTGCAATGCATGATGCATGCCGACAACATGACCCTAAACCCTACTGTAAACCCTAAACCCTTCCAAAATCTGAATCCAAACCAGGCGACAGCTTCTTCGTCTTTTCTGCCGGATCGCTGGAGGTCAGCACTTTCCACCCGAAGTCGCCGGCGTAAGCTGCCGTCCCGGGCTCTTGGGTCTGGGAGGCCTGAAAAAAAAAAACATCAATGACTAGTGTAGGGGCCTTAGTGAGTAGAATAGGGTTTTGGGGCGCATTAGACTACAATTACAATAAGGAACCCCAAAAATCCTGCTCTAATTCATAAGGCCCCAATATTAGCAACACCTCGCGAGTCATTCACACTGAGCTACAGGACTTCCAGTCGCCAGCCAGCGTTTGCCACACACAAGATCATGGAAGAAGTATTATGACATGCCCGTGCGTACAGAGCCTCGAAAAGATCTCAGTTCTCTTGCAATCCCTTTCTCAATTGCTTGCATGTGAAAGTTCTTGACACTGCATCCTACCATACAAAGAAACATGTCGACGAACTGTCGAACCCGTGTGGTCTGACTGCGTCTAATGTTCCAAGACTTCTTGATGCCCGATCATGAGCTGCAAAATGTTGCAAAACAATCGGCCTCGCAGTAGGCCATGTAGAGCAAGATCTGGCCCCAACCAGCCTGTGGAACCTCCAACTGCGCGGCTTCCACTTAAAGCTCCTCCCCCGCTTTAATCCTAACCGCCCACATGAAAACCATAAGAGGACTCCAGCTACTAACTTTGGCCGCCCACCGCTTCCTGTTGACCTCCCCATTCAACACTGGACGACATACGACCACGGACTCCTCCAACTTGTGCGAAAACACGGAAAAGGAGAGAAGGAAGAAACACCAAAGGAGTCCGGAGGTCCGAAGTCCAAAGGGCTCAGAAGCTTTCCAAGCCCGGTCCCTTGTTGTGGACGGCATGTTTAGCCAAAGGAATCACAGAAAAAACGCGATGGCCCAAGCTCCGAACGAGAAACAAGCCGTTTAACTCAAGTTAGCGTCTTCGTCCTTGTAAGAGGATACCGGGGCCGTGGGGGCAGCGTAACACGGAGGTGAAGAACCGTGAACTTCGAAAACCCAGGCACCTTCGAAATCGCTGCAAGGCCGTTGGGCACATCGGCAAACTTCAAGCCGGCTGATGGGCTCAAGTAGCCCGGAAACTTGCCGGTGATCCTTACGCAGAGGCGAAGATGCGACTGAGTGACACAAAGCTACGCCCGAGGAAGAACAACCTATCCCGAAGCCCGCCAGAACGGTATCCGAAGCAGAAAACCTGGTCTTGACTTCGTATGTTAGTTACAGTTCTTGCTGAGATGTTCCTGCCTCAGTTTCGTCACTCAACCAGTGAGCTCGCAAGGCTCTACTTGGCCCCTATGGGTCTTTGCTAATGAAGCCAGCGTGAGGCAACCAGTGCCATGACCCAGGGTGGCCGTCACAGGTGAAACCCAGCACGTCGCAAGCGAGCGTACCATCTGCAGACAGAGCGTACCATCTGCAGTCAGGATGCTCCGGCGTAATGTAACCCATCGTGGCCAGCATCGCCTCTCTTTCTTCAACTTAAGCTCTTGTGCCTCTTCGGAGAAGCTTGCAAAGTCACCTCTTCCAAACCAAATTACCCGAGCAGAATGGAACGCTTCCATTTCTGTGCATTGCAGCCCTGAAGTAGAACCCCAAGGCAGCAAGGGCGCAATGCGACCGTGCTTGAGCTCCGTGGCGCGTCGGCGCTTGAAGTTCTCAACGCTGCCATCGGAACCTGGAAGGACAAGATTTCTCCTGCGATCCTCGTTTCCTGATCTCCGCCCCAGCCAGTCGGATCAGTCGTCTTTTCTACTCGACCCCAATCTTTCAGTTTCAGTTTCTCAAATTTGGTAGCAGGGGGTCGTTTCTCTTTGCGGAACCAACAAACCTCCTTGCTACTGCTGCAGTTACTGCTGCCGCTGCTGCTGCTGCGCCATTGTTAACGAAACCACAAATGCCGTACCCATGCTGATGCCCCATGGCGATGACAGTCATAGCAGTGACTGGTGGCAATTTCCCTTTAAGACTTCCACTGACCAGACGACAAAGATTGGCGACAGTCATCTAGGGCTCAGATACATGGTCACACAAAATGCCGTCGAGTACGGGTCTGCATACTATGAAAACATGTATGTGCGAGGGCAGCCACATCTACGTACGTGTGTACACATGTCCTTCTGCACACATGCACGCATGTTATCTGTATATCTGTGCTTCCATGACCCAAACTATGTCGATGTCTCTATCTCTATCTATGTCCATGCTCACATGTATGTTTATTCCTGTGTCTATGTCTACGCGTGTGTATACATGCACATGTGTATGCGCATGTACGTGCAGATGCACAGGAACGGACATGGGCCTACACCTGCACCGGTAAGTGCAATCGCAAGTGCAAGTGTAAAGCGCATGTGCATGCGCATGCGCATGCGTATGATACTGCGTTTGTTCAGGTGGCTGTGTCTGTGTCCATGAAACGTGAACACAGTGTAGCAAAGCGGCTCAGGCCGGCGGGATCCCAGAAACCCACCGGTGCCTGCACGCCGAGCTCGCTCTCGAAGGCCTCCCGAGGTTTGGGGTCCAAAGGGTTCGGGAAAATGAAAACAGGGGCAGGCTTATTTGTTCTGTCTCAACTACGCTGCACCATGTCCTCACCGAAGCACAGGGAATGGCCGCGAGCCTTCCAGAAGGAGCTAGGGTTGCCGGCCCAGTAGCCCCAAGGGGAGCCGGTGAGTCCGTCCTGGAAGAAGAGGCCAATAATGCCCATCATGGCCAGGCGGCCGTTGGCAATCTCGGAGTTCAACTTCTTCTTCTTGATCTCCGGGTCATCGGAGGTGATCACCTTCCAGCCGAAGTCGCCATCATAGGCAGGAGTGCCCGGGATCTGCTTCTGGGAGATCTCGCAGAAGGCCATGTACGCCAAGATCTGCGCCCAGCCCGCCACGGGCACCTTTCCGATGGCTGCGAGGCCGTTCGGGATGTCTGCGAACTTCAAGTCCATGGATGGCGACAAGTATCCTGGGAACTTGCCGGTGATCCTTGGAAGTCCGGACGAAATCACTTCCGAGAAGCTAGAAGGCATGTCGTGAAGCTACGGCTATCAAAAGGCTGTCTCAAATGCCTCCCCCGAAGCTTGCAAAGCTCAAGCTCTCTCTCTCTCGGACAATGTCGCA